TTTTATTCTGGGCCAGCTTTAGCTCTGGCTCTAGCTCTGAGGCTTCCACTGCTGGTTCTATAATCGAAACAATGTATAACTCCAGCTCTGAGATCCCGGCCTGCTGAAAGCTGGTCTCTGGGGTTTTGTTTAGCTTCTATAAATGTTACAATGTTTCCAACTGCCAGCTCAGAGGCCGGCAGCGCAGGCGGGGAACCTTGGAGTCCTCCTTCACTGAAGGAAGCAAGCCTCATGTTCGCTTTAAGCTGCCTGGCTGCCGGCCGCCATCTTGGCTGTCAGTTAATTTGTATATCACCCTGATTAGCCAATGGGAAGGGTAGCGGTCGTACACTAATTACCATGTTTCTTTTTTATTAGTGTAGATGTCCTAATGGGTATCTCTATCTCTGCCTGTCAGCACCCATGATGGAAATACAGAGGCTTCTCCATCTTTGTTACTCTTCACATATTCATCTCTGATTGTTTTTGCAGCCTCATCATTTGCCTCCTTACAAACTGCCCATAGTTCTTCCACTTGATCTTTCATTTCTTCCCATTGCTCATGCTCATTCCTCTGTCTAGAGTGCAGACTCTCACCACATACCCTCACCACATCTCACTCCCCCTTTACCTTTATAGCTCCCGAGCCTTTCAAATGCAGCCCAGATCTTCCTTTCTAGGAAGCCTGCCCTGGCAAGGTCTCATTTCCTCCCTTGCTCGGGTACCATTAGAGAGAAATCCATTCAGAGCTCTATCCTCCCAATATTTACTTACACAACTTACATATGCTATTAGCTCCTTGGGGCAAAATGTGGCGTAGTATTTCTTTTTGTATCCCTACATTTTTAAGGCAATCCTGATAGAGAAGACATTGATTATTTATGGTTATGAACTTAGCAAGTAATGAATGAGATCTGCCCCTCCCACCAATCATGTGAGATCCCCCATCATATGAGTTCTTGAAACTCCCAGGAAATTTTTCTAGCGTGAGAAGAAACTATTTTTCGTAGAACAAATGTATTCCCTCTATAAGACTTAATTTCATTTGTGGTTTAATTTGAACTACTTAAAATATTACTGAATAAAAGATGGTCTGTGCTGGAAGAAGAATGTTTAGTCATCTGTGAATCTTTTCATCCTTTTCTGAGACAATTTCTCTGCCCCATGACTGTAGCAGGGATCACATTCCAGTAAAGAACATATGGGTATAATTCAGCATGGTGTGCGTGATGTGATGCTGGGCATTCCTCATTGGAAATCAGTCGATTTATGTTGTAATTCCCTGATGAAGAGGCCAGTAGGAGGGTTGAAAAGAAAATGCTGGTTGATCATCAGTGGCAGAATCAATAAAAACCATTTGGAACATAGGAACTGTATGTAAATTATTGCAATGAGTGGTATCCAAATTATTATCCTGCTTTTAATATTCATTAAGAGCTATGAGAAGATCATACCTTTTGATTCAGTGATTCTATTTTAAGAAGAAATCAGCTTAAATACCAAATATTAGAAATTAAGTAAATTATGGACTTTTCATATAGAATACTAGAGGCCGAGTGCACACGGGTAGGGTCCCTAGGCCTGGCCAGTGGTCAGGGCCAATCGGGGCCTTCAGGCTACCAGCTGGGGCCTCCCTTCCCCAGCTGCTGTCCAGGGTCTTCCTTTGTTCCGCGCCACCCCCTGGTGGTCAGCACACATTATAATGAGCGATTGAACTCCTGGTCTCTGGTCGAACTCTAGAGGGGACAGTTTGCATATTAGCCTTTTATATATATAGGTTTGGTAGCCATTAAAATTATATTTACAAGGAGTTATAATGACATGAGAAAATGCCCTTCCCCAGCTGCTGTCCAGGGCCTTCCTTTGTTCCGTGCCACCCCCTGGTGGTCAGCACACATTATAATGAGCGATTGAACTCCTGGTCTCTGGTCGAACTCTAGAGGGGACAGTTTGCATATTAGCCTTTTATATATATAGGTTTGGTAGCCATTAAAATTATATTTACAAGGAGTTATAATGACATGAGAAAATGCATATGAAAAATGACTAAGCTAAATAAAGAAAGAATTGGTTGTAAAATTGCATATATGACATAATCTCAATTATATAAAAATGCTGAGCAATTCTGGAAGAAAATACAAATAAAAGGTTAATGGTGTTATCTCTAGGTAGTGAGGTTATAAGCCATTATTATTTTTTTATTTTTCTTTCTATATTTGCCCTTTTCAATTGTTTTATGGTAAGCTCATATAATAATTATAATAAGGCAAAACACAACCATTTAATAACAAAAGTAAATTATATTTTTCCTAGAAGTGGAGGTAATCAATGGAGTGAATAATTACTTGCTTTGTATCTGATAAAAGTTTTGTTGGAAGGTTATAAAATTTTAAAAAGCAGCCACTTCTGGAGGTGAAAATATCACCAGCATTCTAAAATAATAATAGAATTTGCAAGTTATCATAGTGAATCAGATTTTCAGTTACTCTTTACTACTTCACTCTTGTTTTCTAGCTACTACCTCTGTGCCTGAATCAGCTTTAAAATGGTCCCTCCCTGAAGCATGGACAGGCATTGAAGAGGGCTGGGGAGGACACAACCATACCATCCCAGGCCCTGGGGATGACGTCCTGATTTTACCAAGTGAGTAAAAACAATCCATGAATTAATCACTGGCAGACTGAACCAAGCCAATCTAGTTGGGGATTATCTGTCATTTAAGTTTATTGTAGGACACAGTAGAGAATGTGGAAATAAGTAGGCACTTATAAGTGAAATCTGGAAAAAATAGCTCAGCCAACCTTCATTAAAGGTAGAATAAGTAATCACAATGCCAAGAGGACTTAAAATTTTAGACTAACTAGATAATTTTTTTATGTGTCAGAGAACAGATTTACACCTTTTGCTTGAAAGGCAGAGTACATGGAAATAAACAATTTTTAAAATGGCTTTTAATATTTTGCCTGTGTGAAGCTTTTTCAGATAGGACTGAGAAAAAAAAATCACAAATAAGCCCTTCCATGATTTTCCAAGGATGCTAGAAAAGGAACAGGTTAATAAAATAGAAAAACAAAATATCTATCTATCATCTATCCATCTGTCTATCTAGACCAGGGGTGGGCAAACTTTTTGACTCGAGGGCCACATGGGTTCTTAAACTGGACCGGAGGGCCGGAACAAAAGCATGGATGGAGTGTTTGTGTGAACTAATATAAATTCAAAGTAAACATCATTACATAAAAGGGTACGGTCTTTTTTTTTTAGTTTTATTCATTTCAAACTGGCCGGATCCGGCCCGCGGGCCGTAGTTTGCCCACGGCTGATCTAGAACTTCCTCCCTGTGTACTAACAGATAGGAGAAAGATGATTCCTCAGTTATACTGAAACACATACCACACTTAAAAAATTCATTTTTTCTATATAGATAGTTTTTGAAACTCCCAGAAAGTCTCTCCAGCCTGAGAAAATATTTTTAATAGAAAAAATATATTTCCCCTAAAAGACCTAACGACATTTATGGTTTGAACTTAAATACTGCATAAAAGAAGATTGGTACTGGAAGGTGAACATCTGGTCATCTGTGAAGTAATAATGGTAATATTAAGCATTTGTTGACAACTAACAACATGGAGTTATTCTCCACATATTAACTAATTTAATCCCCATAATAACTCTGTGATATCAGTAACATTACTAACCCCATTCTTACTGACAGAGAAACAGAGGCCAGGGCAGTTAAGAAATTGCTCAGGGTCACACAGTTGGAGGTTTAGCAGAGTCAAAATTTTAACCCAGACTGTTTTACTCTGAGTCCATATTCTTAGCCAATCAAGTGCATTCTTCCTCTAAAAAGTCTAAGAATATGGGTGGTGAGGGTCTGGGGGAGGGGGGACTGGAGTGGGCTGGAAGAGGTTAATGGGGAGAAAGGGGGGACTTATGTAATACTTTCAACAATAAAGATTAAAAAAATAAAATATAAAGTCTAAGAGTAAACAAAAGAGAGTAGTTGAGTTCTTTGTTTTATTGATGACAAAAAATGAAGGCAGAAAAAAATAGAGTAAAATACAATTAAAAAGAGAGAGAAAAACAACAACAAAATATACTATCTTCTGGGTAGTGGTGGTGTGCCTGTAATTGCATAGAGAGTTGAGGGGCTGGAGGGAGTGGGCTGATCAATAGGAACTTGAATCATCAACTCCCTATCTTCCACTTCTCTCCATGGAGGATGTAACTTTTTGAGTAAACAAGCTCATGAGTCATTCCTATACGAAAAGGAAAAATCTGTTCTGTCTCAGCCATCTCTTTGATGAATCTGGCCAGCGGATTGGCCCTGGGCTATGGTTTTTCCCACTGAGCAAGCTGTTTCTCCCACCCTGTGCGGAAGCAAGAGAAGCTTTTGAAGGTTGCCAAGCTTTTAATATCCTTTGGGACCTTTATGCTGAGTGAGGAGCAATCTTAGCTATCTTGCTTGGCATTGCAATTGACTGTATCCATGTGTGTCCTGGCCGCCTAGAACCTCTGGCATTCTCCGGCATCCTCATTCTTTTGTTCATGGTCAGCTAATGAGATGGACCTGAATTCTCCATAAGATTGCTTTTAAATAGCACAAATCAGTGCTTTGGAAAAAGGTGGGTGGGGGCATAGTCATTGGTTGCAAAGAGCATCTCTCGACCTTTAGTATTATTGTGAGAACCAGAGGAGTTAAGACTTTTAAAACATGTAGTTATTATTTATTATTTATACTTTTCAAATGTAAAGATAAGTAAATGAAAACTGATATGTAATATATAATAAAGGAAGTCCTTACTTTTTTCCTGTTGCCCTCTCTTCTAATAAGCCCTCTTTGAACTCCAGCAAATCATCTTTTAGTGGCCAGTATTTTAATTCATTGTTCCGTTCAGTTTTGAGCCTTACATAGGAGCTGTTCTGGCTAATTTTTCTCTACTTATTTTTGGCAAACCTTGACATTCTGACCTCTGATGGAACTTCGGGTTTAATTTACCTCCTCTTTCTATTTGTGGTGTGTATTCTTAACCTTTTCCTGGCTCTCCTGGTTTCTTTCATTCCTAGTCTTCTTTGAATCAAGTACAATTTGTTCACCCACATCTGGCACAAAATAGACATTCAATAAGTATTGCTTGAATAAAGTGCACACGTCAATGCTGTCATCCGTAATTGAATACCAGAAATAAACCTTTGAGTTTGACATAGTACAACTATACAATTTTACAGGTCTGTGGAAAATAATGTCTTCTCCTTTGAACAGATTCCTAATAACTAAGATTTTTACCATGATGATAACTGCCACTAGAACTTGAGTGCTTGATGTGTGCCACACACTATGCTGTGTGATCCGCATATATTTCCTCAATTAAGTCTCACAACTACTTATGCGAGGATGCTGTTTTCACCCTCCTTTGATAGATGAGAAATCTGGGACACAGAGAGATTAAGTAACTTGCACAAGTTTCATCCAGCTATTCAATAAAGAGGCTGGGGCAGGAAAACAGATAGTTTGATTCCAATGCCCTAACTCTTTATCATATCATTTTTTAAAACTCCACATCCCCGCCTGCTATGCTTCAGTCACATCAGACTACATTTTTTACTGAATTCATATTTCTCTGCTGGCTGCTCACATTGTTTCCTTCATGCGGAATTAAACCAAAGAGAACTTTATTATTTACTCTACTCGAGGATTTCAATCTTACCACATCCCCGGTAGGTGCACAACCCATAGGAAAACTGGAGAAACTTCCCAAAGAAGTATCTGATGTAACGAGCCATTGGTAAAAGCACTTGCTGTGCATCTGGTAGCAAATGTAGCTGTAATTCAAGGTCACACTCCTTTCCAATTCAGTTTAACCAACATTCACTGAGCACTCACGGTGTTCAAGGCACTGGACCAGGTGCTCTTGATCTGAGGTTCCAAAGGCAAATCAGATACAGCCATGACCTCAAAGCAGCGAGTGACCTCAGCTGGGTTAATAAGACACATGATACATAACAATATAGCAAATAGCTGCAATCAAAGCAGACGTGTTTAGAATCACAGTCGTGGTGGAAGAGAGGCATTTGAAGTGGCCCTTGGAAGGTGGGATAACGGTCTGAGGGACAATCTGAGACGCCAGGGCAGCGGTTCTCAACCTTCTGGCCCTTTAAATGCAGTTCCTCATGTTGTGACCCAACCATAAAATTATTTTCGTTGCTGCTTCATAACTGTAATGTTGCTACTGTTATGAATCATAATGTAAATATCTGATATGCAGGATGGTCTTAGGCGACCCCTGTAAAAGGGTCATT